AAACCCCCTAGTGTTACAGAAATACCATGTACTACTTATGAAGAACTTGGACTAAGACTGTTGGCAATAAATTTGGGACTTGTTGGGCCCACATCCCCAGGGGTCTGCCCACCAGGGAAAGCACCAAAGCCTATACCCCTGGAGACCCACCGACATAGGGCAGTCCCAGGGAAGGCAAGCAGTGAGGCTGGGAGGACATAATCTCCTTCAGTCACTTCCTTGTAGCTTATCAGTAGAGCAGTGACCTTGGAATAGCCCTTATAATGGAACACAGAGATTAACCTAGACAGGATTAAACTCAAGGGAACTAGATTAACAAACGCCCTAACCTTTGGAATAGAATGGATAGGATTAAAATCAACTGGTATAAATACAGATGTAACAGGACAATAAAGATAGAACCTGGCTAGAGAACCTGGCTAGGCTGCCGATCAACTGAACGCTGTCTCCATGTCATTCCTTCTTCACCGACTCTGTCCACACCTTTGGGAACCCCTGGACCTGCTGGGGTTGGACCCCAACACTAGAAACTCAACATGAAAAGGGAAACACAAATGCACAGAGAGGGGTTCAGGGAATCCCAAGGTAATAGGATGAAGGGAACAGAAGAAACCTCTTTTCAAAACCAAAACTATAACTCATCTTCTGAGAGAGATGACTGGAAACCACATCTAGAGAATGAGAGTAAAATGATGTGAGAAAGAGTCAATTAGAAGTAAACTCTTGGGTATAAACTGAAAAATGAATGCTAAAGTAAATATTCAATAAAATGATCAGAAAAAAAGAATCAGCCCTAACTGGTTTGGCTCAGTGGATAAAGCTTTGGCCTGCAGACTAAAAGGTCCCAGGTTCGATTCCGGTCAAGGGCATGTACCTTGGTTGCGGCACATCACCAGTAGGAGGTGTGCAGGAGGCAGCTGATCGATGTTTCTCTCTCATCAATACTTCTAACTATCCCTCTTCCTTCCTCTCTGTAAAAAAATCAATAAAATATATATTTTTTAAAAAGAATCAAAGAAATCTTCCCCCAAAGGAGAATTTAAATATAAACACACACTTAGATCATCAGATTTCAACATTTGACTAACAGAAATTGCAAAATGAGAAGAAAACAGGGGGAAGCAATCCTTTAGGAAATTTACCAGAACGAAAGAGCGCACATTCTTCCAAACACCCTATTCAAAGGCGCCACCAAGGCATGGCCGATGGCATTCAGATGATAGGGTGAACACTTCCAGAGACAAGAATGAGAACTGGAAGGGCGTGGGCTTCTCAGTGGCAACACTGGAGCCATGGGACAAAGAAGCGTGCCTGCAACATCCTTTCCCTGAGGCATACCCACCAAGTTAAAGGCAACTCAAGTCATGCAAAGAGGTAGGAAATTCACCTCCCACAT